CTCTGGCCTGTACCCCAGTTCTGTATGAATAAATAAATAAACCTTAAAAAAAAAAAAAAAAAAACAAGATACAAGTGTTGGTGAGGGTGCTGAGAAAAGAGAATGTTCATACCATCAGTAGGAAAATTTCCATGATGTAGGTGTGGAAAAAATTAAGCATGGAAATAGCATATGATTCAGCTATCCTACCTTTATATAGATATGCACCCCGAGGTTCACTGCAGTACTATTCACAACAGCCACTGTTGGAAACAACCTAAATGCCCATCGATGGCTAAGTGCATAAAGATGCTTGGTATAGGAGAGACTACTCAACTATAAAAAAAAATGCTGCCATTTGCAACAACACAGCTGGCCCTAGTGCGTTAGCTGGCACAGTGCTTAGTGAAATAGGTCAGATAGAGAGAGACCAGCATATGATTTCACTCATGTGTGGTAGGTAAAGAGACAAAATTAATAAATAAAATAAAACTCTCAGACTATCAGAACAAAAGGGTGGTTACAACAGGGGAAGATGGAAGGAGGGGGTGAATCAGTTCAAAGGGGTCAATGGTATTATGATAGCTGAGGATACTTTAGACTTTTAATGGTGACCATAATGTAGTATATACACTGATGTATAAGATGGTGCACCTTACACCTATATACTGGTCTTTATACCAATATTCCTTCAATAAAAATGTGTGAAAAAACAGCAAAAATAAACCTAACCCAAGTGAATGGCATGCTGAAGTTTATAAGACTAAATACTAAGGTGTGTATATATACATATATACATATATATGTATATATGTAATATATATGTATATGTATACACAATATTCTAACAAAGTTAGAATTAAAAAACAATAAATTTGCAAAAAATCAGCCATTTTTATGCCATTAACTGGTCCTTTTCTGTTTTTATTTTAAAACCTGGATATTCAGTGGCAAAGGAATAGGTTTGGTTAGTGTTAATCTCTCAAACAGTAGAAACCACCCTGCGATGGAGATTTCAGTTATAAGCTCACAGGAAACACTTCGATATGATTTATTAATTACACCCTATCACAGGACAAATCACAATTCCTTAAAATAGAAAATGAAAACTAAAACCAAATGAAAGAACCCAGAGAACTCTGAAAATAAAAGAAGATATCGTAAATAAATAATTAAAACATGGAGAAATGGGTGGAGAGTTAAGTGAAAGCAGCCTCAATGCCCTTCATGTAAAGCTTTCCTTACCCTGGGAATAAGAAGATCCCCATCCCGTCAGTCTGCCACCCACCTACACCCCAACACACAGCCCACCCTGGTCCCATTCCTGGGAGGGAGTGTTTCTGGGAAACACATGCAAATTACCTCAATAAACAGCCACTAACCACCTACTAGGTGTTAGTTAATCTAGCCCTTCATCCAAAAATACAAACCACCAAGAAGATAACAAGGAAAAAGCCACAGCAGAAAAGAGAAGGAAGAAAATGAATCAATTAACCTCAAAAGAAACAAATACTTCAGAGATGAGAGGAAGAAAAAGAAAAATTCTTAAATGCCATTCAGGAAGTGGCAGCTGTGGAACAAGGACAGGTGGTCACAGATGAGAAACAAGCAGAAAACAAGAAAAAGTGCTTAGAAATTCAAACTGATTTTCCAAATTAAAAAATGCAATAACAATTGCAAAGGAAAAGCTACAGACCAAGTCGAGAGCTGGGAAGTCAAGAGGCGTGTTAAAGATTCAGGAAAGCCATCCATCTGCTAGGAGTGGCAGAGGGAGAAAAAAGACACTATAAAGGAAACAAAGTAAGAGGGATAATTTCCCTGAGCTAAAAAATGTCAAATGGATAGGGGCAAGAAGATCAAAGAACCTACACCTAGAAACATCCCAGGGAAAACCCTTGAAGGGAAAATAAACAAGACTGCAAGCCTGATTTCTAATCAACAGCAAATGCGGGTGGAATTCAAAGAAGCAAGGTCAATGCCTTACGCACGTTTCATAATGTACAATACCACAGACCTTAGAAACACCAGAGAGGTGGCGTTAAGCTGCCAGAGTCCCTGAGTGTAAAATACATCCCAATCCCAAAGGTGTTAACAAGTGGGAGGAAAGTGAAACTTAGAATTGACGAAATATAACGCCTACATTCAGACAAACTGTCAATCAATGAGGATAAAATAAAGCTATTTCCAAAAACTCCATAAATCTGTCTCCTCTAAAAAACTTCCTGGAGTAGGTACCCGAGGAGAGCAAGAGAAAAGTCTAAACAGACAAGAAGAGCACAAGAGTTCCACATGAGAGCAGGAACAAAGGAGACCCACATAATATATGTGTGCACATGTACATATGTGTACACACATCGTGTGTGCATACACATCCCCCTGCAATATGTACAAGCTTCATTAAACACAGGTGCTTCTAAGTATTACATCTGACAGTTCACTTCCCTGGCCCAAGCTACACTACCGCTTACAGAAAGAATGATTTAGTCATACCACCACATCAATGCCATTTACTGGTTGTCAGTTTTCAGAATCAGTCTATAAAGGAAGTAGAGGAAACTCAAAGAACAGAATGTAAATGACACAAATAACATGACCAGACAAAATTCAACAAGGGAGACTGATTTGCTGCACTTCATGATGCAGTTGTCAGTAATAGATACTTTTTACAAACTGATAAATCAAGAAATAGAAAAAGGGCGTTTTAAATTGTGGACTGTAATTGTTGCTGAAGATTAGGCTTAATTTTGATCTCCTGTGCTGTCTGAATTTTTTTCAGACAGAAAATCCTGCCTAAAGGTAGAGCCGACGAAGTTACCAGAATGTCAGAGACAACCTCCTTCTAACTTTCTGCTAAAGGAAGCAAGTTTTCCAAAGATTTGGGGGAGGGGATGCCTCACTCTCATCTTCATAAACCAAGAACAGATGGGCTTATGTGCATCCACCATCACAGAACCAGCTTTACCCCACACCAAAGTAAAAAGTTGTTTCACCGGAAGCTGTACCTGATAGGTCCTTAGAACACGCAGCCAGCTTTTCCAAGTGACTGTTGATTTTGTCAATGGCTCTGAAGTTCTTATTCCTCTTGAGGATGTCCACAGCAGACCGGGACTGGCAGTCCACCAGGGTGGGGTCCGCCCCAAAGCGCAGCAACATCTGCACATCCTCTGTTTGTCCTGGGGTGGGCCAAAAGGAGAAGAGGGCTTTGGCATGGTTCCTTCTGTAAGGAGCCGTCCCCATGGGTGCAAAGTCTCCCAGGTCCCTGCCCAAGCAGCCCAGGCCAAGGGGAGCAAGGTCTGTTTGCCTGCAGGACCTCAACCACAGACCCTCAGGTAGTCCACCAACTCCCCAGAGCAAGGAGTCCTGTGTGGAGGGGGAAGGACAATAGCTTTTCAGAGGTTCAGAAGTGCGCTCCTCTCTACCTATCTCCCCTCTCCTTGGCAACAAGCAAGGAGAGGGGGAATCTGGTTACTAGGCAACAGTTACAGCTGTAAGGATAACAGCAAGCTGTGACTTCAGATTTCTTTATTCCCTAGACAGGAAACAGAATATTCTTCCAGAAAAAGAAAAAAATTCCTGTCTGGGGACAGGAAAAGAAAATGGCAATCGCTTTCAGATCAAGGCCTTTTTAATGTCAATGTTTCTACAGGCCCCTGGTTGCCAGCTCCATTTGCTGCTTTGACATATCTATTGCCAAGCATCAAGTGGCCTCTATGATCACAAATGCAACAGTTTTCAGAATGGAACAGGTGTATCTTGGAGAACAAAGCCTTACTGTGGGTGCACAGAGTTCCATGAATCAAGGCCTGATCCTAAGCTGAAATGCAGAGCCTCCACAGGCAACTCAGGTATGGTCTTGCTACCCGCCCCTACCACCACCACACCTGCCTATCTCCCACTTACAAAAACAAGACAAAATTAAAAAGTCATACTTCTTGCCCGCCAGCAATCTCATTTGGTCGGCACAGTTCTAAGCTAGGCCCTGAGAATTCCAAGCCCTTCTCCCAATTAGTCATCAAATACTAACCTAGGTGCTGCTGTATTGAGACTGTGTAAGTATCATTAAGCTCTCAAAGCAGCTGGCCCTCAGGTAGGGCGCAGAGTGGGCCATAGGACAAGGAATGTGTGGGGCCTGCAGAGGCTGGCAGGGCCCTGTGGGTGACAGCCAGCAGGGAAATGAGACCGTAGTCCTATAACTTCCAGTCTCGGCCACAAACATCTAAGCGTGAAAGAAAGCCTAGAACTTCAGATGAAAACACAGCCCCAGCCAAGACCTTCATTTCAGCTTCAGGAAATAGGCAGAAAACATACATCACACCAAACTACTGCTCTATAGAGTTGTGAGTTAATAGGCAAGTGCCGTTTTAAGCCAGTTAGTTCATGGTGCTTTATTCCACAGCACAGAGAACTAGTTAATGACCATGGTGTACTGCCCTGAAGGAGGGGGACACACCTCACCTCCAGCTTTATTGACCTAAAGGAAAATAGACCCTTGCTCTCTTTAAAGGTCACTGCAAGCTACCCTCTTACCTCCCTCACACATTTTTAATCTTATCTTTAATAATTAGTTATGGAAAGTTTTAACAAATTCCTGCTGCTTTGACTATCTCCGTGGTCATAAAAAATTTGGTAATAATTCGGTCTAAGAAAAAAAATTAACCCCTAGAGTCTTACAATCACAGAAACTTTTTAAAATGTAGTTACATGAGTACTTTTATTCCAGGGGAATATCACTGGTTGCTAAGACTTTCACAGATAAAATTTGTTAAGGAAAACTTCTCTTTGAAAATTAGAGTGGCACTATGAATGAAAAAAAGCGAGAGAGAACTGTACATTTGATATTTTTACCAGTGAAAAGCTTGCCCATAATTTTTAAATGGGTATCAGAAGATACCAAATTATTGTGTATTTATGTTCTGTTATATATAAGTGAAAGAACGAGATAAGTTTTATTTGAAAATATCAATGTGTACACAATTTAAAAAAAAATCACCTTTTCTTGTAAGTGCTTAGACTCACAGATTGAAAACTTTAGATGCCAACTCAAAACCTGGCAAAGAGGTACGCAGGTTTCTTATCACCTCGCAACCACTGGAGTGGAGTCCTTCATTACCCTTATCTTCATGGCACCTTAACTTTTCTATAGAAGAAATGCACTTGTCTCCATCCAGAAGGAAAAAAAAAGCTTGAGAGGTTGTGAGAGTTTCCAGAAGAAAGGAGAGCCGTCAAGAGAGCTGTGAAGCAAAGCACAGGCCAACCTGGCAGGTCTTCCGGGAGAGAACCAGCTTGGTTGGCCACACCTGCCTCACTCTTGCACATGGCCTGTCTGGGGCTGGAAGCCAGCTCCAGTGTTTGAGTCTAAGCGCCGTGAAGGCAGGGCCCTGTCTATGTCGGGCGCACAAGTCATCACTGGCAGCTAGCACAGGTGGAGCATAAATGCAGCACTGGGCAACAACACGGTAGGGTGATGAGGGAGGAGACAGATGCAGCCGGCAGCCATGTCCTTGGGCTCCCTGATGCCGCTGAAAGCAGGGCGAGTCCTTGGAGCCCCACAGTTATTCCTTTGCTCACCTGCCTCCTTCCTGCAGCCAGCCTATCCCTGCCTGCAATGGCAGGCAAAGTTCAGCCCCCTCAGCCTGCCCCAGGGAGGATGTTAAGACTCGGCAGTCGGCTTGTGGGGTCTCCTGTGCTGAAGGGAGCCAACTAAGCCCACCCCCAGGGCGGTGCCCCTACTCACGCTTGGTGAAGTACCCCGGGGAGGGGGCGGCCACCAGGTGCAGGAGCGTGCAGCCGTTCTCATCCTTCTGGTTGATGCGGCCTTTCCACTCAGGTCTGTGGTCCATCAACCACCTGAAAAGATGGTTTTCCTCTGAAGGGAAATGAATGAGTTCCTGATGTTATTTTCTACATACACAATATCTACACAGCAAAACAATCTGTACAGCTCTAAGAGATAAATGCTTTATCCACCAGTTCCTCCTTAGGAACGGTATTTCTTTTGGGCCCTTCAGTGGATGGGACAGATAACAACAGGGCAATCTGGTGAAAACAGAGAAGGCTGCCCAGGTCTTCAAGACCCTGGTCACCTCCCAGTCCTTCAATCTTGGGGAGATGCTCCATTCCAGAAGAGGAAGACTGCCTAAACAAGTTCTTTTGACCTCTTTTGTCTCTGAAATGATCCAGATAATGTGCAACAGTGATATCATATATGCTAGGAAAAGACAATCAAGCTTCTGCCTAAAGTGTGGGTATATATCTATTTTAAAGATAAAATTTTAAATTTTTAATTTAAATCATATAGCCAGGTGGCAAAGATTTTTTTTAAAAAGAATTTTTATGAAAATTAAAAATTAAAAAAAAAAAAACCAACAAACACAAGCAAACTATATTGACACTAGCCAATATTCCCTTGGGGACTCCCTCCTCTCCACCCCACCCCAATGCCCCAACCTGCCTTTGTCAAGAGGAAGGAAACTCCACGGTCCCCTTTGGGACTCTGGCCAGCAAAGGCTGGCTGTCCCAGAGTTCTCCCCTATTGCTAGGATCTGTCTGGAAACATAGAATTTGGCCCTCCCTGGTGGCACAACAGGTTAGGGCGCAGCACTGCAAGCTGGCTACAGCCGCTTCAAAGTGAGTTCAATCCCCTGCCCCTGGCGTTTACCCACATGGCTGGCAGACCTCTCCTGACCCGCCCGCTGCTCCCCTCAGCAGTATACTTCCTTGAGCTGCCTGTTCTGCTCCCCACTCTGTCTCTGGTGAATCCTCTCACTGCCCCTGCACCTCTGGCTTGTACCTCAGTTCTGTATGCATACATAAATAAATATTTTTTTAAAAAAAGAAAGAAACATAGAATCCTTTCCAGTGGGCTTCCTGCAGCAATGAGATCCCAAGAGAATTAAAATGATGCTGCTTTCCTGTTGCCGTCATTCATTTGAATAACAGAACATTTGAATATTCAAAGAATTTGAATATTCTACAATCAAGTGGTCACATTCTGGTTTCACTTGTGTTGAGCAGATTCCCAGAGCTCAAGCTAAAGGGCAGTTGGAGGGTGTAAGGTCAGAACTCACTGGCCTGGATGCAGAGCCGCATGAGGGCATGAAGCGGGTACGGGCCTATGGTCTCAATATTTGCACCCAGGGAGATGAGCCATTGGACTAACTTGGGTACTTGTTCCAGTTTCTCATAAAGTCCAATAAAGACGTATTTCTGGAAGAAAGAAAAGAAAAATCACACATGCACGGAAGGATTCATAGAAGTGACTATATCAATCTGAAATGTTAAACCTCTTCCATGAAGTTTGGAATCAGTGAAACCTGGATTGTGGCGAGAAAGTTGAAGGGGGAGATACAAACCTGAGTGGCCTGACTTGAACCGTGATTCAAGCCACCTTACCTCAAAGAGACTTTTCAGTGATAACTCTGGGACATGGATATTCCTTGGTAGTCGATCCTTTTTCGCTGACAGAAGTAGAAATGACTGATAGAAGGGGAGAAAAAGAAAATGTTGGGGTAATAAAGTCCTCCACACAGGTTATGAGAGCACAAGTTCTCTTAATCTAACACAAACAAAAAAACAAAACATCCTTTAGTGCTATCTCTTTTTTAAGCAACAAGCCAAGCTTTTCAGCTTAAACCATGATAATCATGAGACCTGAGAAGTCTAGCTGGCTTCCTGTTCTTGCTGTGAGCTAAGCTTCCTCCACTCTCACAGGCAGGGGGGTAGGACAGGAGAAGCTGATAGCAAGCAGCATGACAGAGAATATAATAGCAGTAGGGTGAAGTAATTCCCTGTGAAGTTCTTAAAGCTTACCGGGCAAAAGCATTAATTCCTTTAGAAAAGCCCATGCTAATCAATTCATCTGCACATCAGTGTTTCATAAACCCCCAGCACCTGGGCTCCAACTAGCCGACTAAGCAGTAGTGTACCTGGCCTCTATCACTAGAGAGAGAGCTCACTGGACACATCTTTTCCCAGCTCCCAGTCTTGTAGTCATATTAGTACCTGGAAATTGACCAAATGAGAGCATTTACACTGCAGGAAATGGCAAGTGGAAGTGCAATAAATTGGTACTTTTTTTGTTAAGTCACTGACCCTATTTAAAGTTTAACCAGTTAAACCACTCACCCTATTTAAAGTCAGTGAAGAAACCCAATGCCAGGGTAGGTAAGCAATTTTTTTCCTAGGTCACACAGAGGGAGACAGACCCCTGCTAAGAACATCCAGGTATGCCAACAAGTCAAAGCAGGGGAGGACAGGAGAAGCTGATACCAAGCAGCATGACAGAGAATATAATAGGGGTGGAGTGAACTCACCAACCCCCATCAATGCCCCAGCTCCAGGGCACCAGAGATAAACTAAAACAGAGATAAGCTGACAGCAGTAATTAACTCCAGGAGACCCCTCTGGCAGAAAAGACCTCTGCCTCAGCAGTAAGTCCTAGCACACTCCCTCTGGCAGAAGAGACTCCCACTGCTCAGAGCACCAAAATATTCCAGCAGTATTCTGACCCTCCAAAGACCCAAAGGCCTGCTCTCCCCAATTCAGGGCTCACTCTCAGACCTCAGGGGGTCGTCCCTTCCGTGTTTATTAGTCTGATAATCTTGGCCGCCTTTCTTTTTTAACATTCTGGTGCCCTTCTAAGGAAGGGCAAAAGTGGGGAGATAAGGGTGTGGAATCACCCTTTCTCAGGTAAAATACCTGGCAGAAAGTGGGTCTCCCATACTTGACCTCAAAGGGGAGGATGATGAGGGGACATTTGGGGGCCTGAGGAGGGGGAGGAGGGGAGGATAGACTTCCTGGTCAGTTGCGTTTCAAGGAATAATTTGGTAAGAATATTTTTTAGGGTACAATTTGTTCGTTCTACCTTTATGGCCATAGACTCAGTTCCTGGCAAATTCCTCAGATTGGGGCTAGTAGGGAATATGGAATTTCTAGGAAATGCGGAGGAAGGAAGCTAGAGTCTAAATAGCAGAGGTGAATTCCAGCCCGTTGTCATACTGGAGGTAGCGCGGATCACGCAACAGGGAATTATTTCAGTCATAAGAATGTTGTGATCCTTGAGGCCTGCCAGTTTGTGGTGGGGAAGGCTTCAACCCATCCTGTAAGTGTGTCAAGGAAAACCAAGAGGCATGTGTGTCTGTGTCCTGGGGGCGTGTGAGTAAGGTTAAGTTGCCAGTCAACAGCAGGTAAAGAGCCCTGGGCCAGCTGGGCGGGAAAGGGCAGGGCTCTCAGGTTGATGTGGGGATTGGTCTGATTGCAGGGATGGCAGTCTTGAGTAGGGACCTGAAGTACTGGGTCTGCTGTGGTGTGAGGGTGACATATTGCTTGAGGAAAGTTTGGAGGGTTTGGGTGTATAGATGGAAAAAGGAATGTAAGTAGTGGAGGGGAGACTGAGTTCAGGGAGAGTGATCTTGGCTGGGTTTGTGGCTATGTCCTGGCGGGTCCTCTGGATGAGGACTCAGGGCAGGGGAGGCTTTGCTGGTTTGTCTGAGGTGTAGAAGCTTGTTTTGTGACAGTGTCTGCAGCATTATTCATAATGAAGATGTAAGATGTGGCCCTTTGGTGTCCTTTACAATGGATGATGGCTACAGGGAATGGGCTGTTCACTGCTTCTAGGGCAGGTGTGAGATTCTCACTGGAGATGGAGGTGTGTGTTTGAGTAAGGAAACCACACTCTTCCCTCACGTATGTCCTTGCCAGGGGACATGGGATGCCAGGAACTGAGTCTATAGCCATATCTTGCTTCCAGTTCCTTTCAGTTTGATGCCCACTGTCAACTGCTCACCCTGAATGGGCCCCACTGCCCATATTCAATCCCAGATGTCATCTTTAGGATTCTGACACTCCTGGTGACTAATCTGGTTTTTTTTCCATACACACAAACATGTATGTATGTATGTATGTGTGTGTGTGTATGTGAGACAGAGGAATCTTGTGTGTGTCTATATATATATATAGACAGCCCTTCCCGTGCAGCCATCATCCATTGTAAGGGACACATCTTATATCTTCATTATAAATAATGCTGCAGACACTGTCGCAAAACAGACTTCTATGCCTCAGACAAACCATAGACACAAAAAAGATTTCCTCTGTCTCCGATATTTGAAAAGGACCTGGCCCCACTGCTGGTGGGATATTAAGCGTGTCGCTTGAGCTGGATTCCTGAAATTTCCTTGGCTAGCTGCTTCTCAAGATATTTTAACACAGGAGTACGTTGCTTGGAATTTAGGGGTTTCCCGTGAGCCCCTGAAATTATACCCATACCTGTCTGTGCATGGGAAAAAAGTCCCATCAATTTCATTAGATTTCTAGTGGAATCCACGACTTTTCTAAAAATTTAAGACTTCTGTATTTTGAAGTCATTCAGTGTGTCTAGATTTAACATCCTCATGGGGTGCCCTTGTTTTTGGTGACTTTCTGGACTGCCAGCATCAGGAAGCCCAGCAAGCCCTTTAACCAAACCCCAGCCTTCACTGGCCCATCCTCAGGAGTGCTTCTAAGCCACCATCAATGACTACTGTTCTTCGGGCACTTAGTGTGTGCCAGGCATTATAAAACTCTGTTAGCGCAGTGCCTGGCACACTGTACACCTCTGATAAACATCAACTGGTATTATTAGGGCATACTCTTGGTCCATTATTTCTAATCCTTCTGTACCCTGAGGGAACAGGCTTACATCCTGCAACTTACAAATGAAGAAATGAAACTCAGAGGGGAAGCAGCTACCCCAAAATAGCAAGTAGAGGATTAGGATACAGGAAGATACCGGTGTAAGACCTAAGGCCAGGCTCCACGGTCCCCTTTGCTTCTAGACTCTGTGGAATCTTGATCCTGAACCTGGATCCTAGAGCCTCATTTCTCAGCTACCCACATGTTAGCACCCCCTTAAAGTTCTGCAGAAAGCATCTGAACAGTACAGGCAGGTCATCTGGGCCCACACAAGCAAATGCAATATAAAAAGAATTATGAAGATGAGTTGTTTGTTTTCTCATTCCACATCACTACTATCACCTAGGCTTTACATGACTTTGATGATGAGAGATACAGCAAGGCATGAGGTAGGGAGTTACTCTATCTAAGCAACTTGCCATCTTTGGTGATACTACATTTACAAAGTTATTTGGCATCAAGATAAACATATAATAAATTATAATCTCCCAGTGCTAGAGAGAAACCACTGCATCAAGAATCTACCTTCCTCACAAGAGAGCCATGTCCTTTTACTTACGTGCCACAATCCTTTCTTTGCCAATTTTTCTATTACGGATTGCCACACTTCTGCTGAGAATCCAGTAGAGAAAATATGATCAAAGCAGGGCAAGAAACTTTGCAAAACAATGGGATCACCTGAAAGAAGATTCCAAAAGAAAATTTTCAAATGGGAGAAAGTCTAGGTAGACATTTGGGAAAAGCCCTCCAACTAGGTCCACAAAAGGAAAGATGGTAAATTTAAAGATAATCAGTACAAAAGGCATTTTCAAAATAGAAAGTTCTATAGAATTAAAGTGGTCAGCAGTTTAAGTTCGCTCTTAAAATCAATCTCCTAAGAGGTGGCATCCTGTGAGCTAATACTCTTTCTATTTGCTAAGCACAGAGAGGTGCTTCTATTAATCCTTCAAGCCAACCAGTAAAATAGTGCCTATTACCTCCATCTACAAAAGAGGAAATGGAAGCTAAGGGAAGATCTTCTCTTAAAAAGATGTGACAAGTATTTTTACTCAACTGAGGAGAAACTATGACAAATGAAGTGAGGTTTAATGGTGGATGGTGCAGCTAGTTCACGACAAAAACTAAAATGATAACCTAGTGACCCACTGACGGACTGCATCTCATGATCCTTAGCCTCACATCACGTCTCAAACTCATGATGAGAACATCCAAGGGGACAAGTCAGGTGTTAGAATAATCTGGCATTTCTTCCAGGGCTCTCAATTCCCAACAATGGGTAAAGGGCAAGATATTGTACAAAAGCATGTGAAATTTCCATAAATGTATTTTTAAATATTTAAAAATAGGTCATGGGGAAGAGCAAGCGGCATATCAAATAAGTAGTATAACTAGGGAAATCTATGAATATCAACACAAAAAGAGAAGTCTAAAACAAAAGTTGAAAAGCTTAAAGTCATTTATGCAAAGCTTGAAATAATTTGTGAAGACATTTGGCATCAAAATAAACATAATAAATTACAGTCACATCATTTATAATCAAATAAGTTACAAATGTAGAATAAATTATAATACAAAGGCATGAGCCAACAAAACTTTCAAAATGTTTCTCTATGTGGAAATCAGTTTCTTTCAAACTCCTTAAATCAGTCACAGAGAAACACCTTAGAATTATTTCCCCAGGAGCCCAAGTCTCCAGGAGCCAATCAAATAAAATAACAAGGTTTTTTTTTTTTTTTTTTTAAAAAAAAGACTAAAAAGAGGGCCCTCCCTGGTGGCACAATGGACGCAAGCACTGAAGCTAGTGGCAGCCACTTCAGGGCTAGTTCAATCCCTGGCCAGGGAGGTGACCACATGGCACGGCAGACCTCTCCTGACTCACCCGCTGCTCCCTTCAGCAGTGACCCTTGTCCATCTGCCTGTTCTGCTCCCCACTCTGTCTCTGGTGAATCCTCTCACTACCCCTGTACCTCTGGCCTATACCCCAGTTCTGTATGCATACATAAATAAATCTTAAAAAAAAAGACAAGAAAGAAAATCAAGCTGCCCAATTCCGACTTACTGCCCATAGTGGTGAAGATTCCAACAAGGAAATCAGCAACCTGGGACTGCTCTTGGTTGTCTTGTAGAAGGCGCAGACCCTCAAAAAACATGCGAGCAGCTTCATAAGGCTGGAGCAATCGCAGCAAGGAGTAACCAGCCCTGTAATATCCCTGGAACAGAAAAAAAAAAAAAAAACCTTGAACACACCCATCTCTTCTAACATGCTGCTGAAAGGAAAGACCAGATTGATGGCATGGGGAAGAGGACTCCAGGAGTCTCACTGTATGTAAACACGGATTTCTAAGAAGCTCTGGACACAAGATTTCCACATTACATTCTGTGCCACTTTTTTTAACTGCCATGAATCACTTTCCAATCCATGATTTATACCGCATCTAAAATACAGCGCAGAGAAGAAAGGGGCCTGGTTCCAATTATATGTGTGGTTTATTTATTCATGCCTCAAATCACAGCCTGGGTATGAAGAATGAAAAAATCCTATGGCTACAGTAACGGTCAGGAAGAGAATGAGATTGTCATGTAAACACAAGTGTTCCCTGCTCCATTCAGTCAACGTTAATGTAATTCCCACAGGGTCTGTAGAGAGGAATCATAATTAAAATCATGGGGATTTACAGAGCTCTACATTATAGCCAATATATACCAGTAGCAGAAAATTTTTGTGATTTCTATAGAGCTAGGGTAATTACAGTGATTAACAGAAGAAAATTATCTGATTGTGCTTATATATCAACTGTAGGACTCTTGAGTAGGAACAAAATGATACTGCCTTCCCTACTTAGTGACTAAGTAAATTGGCATCAACACCTACCAAAGCCGTTTACTGTCTCAGATAACCGAAGGTGTGCACCAATGGCGTTCACAGAAAAACAAGCACCTAAAAATGGTCCACTGAATACCAAATCTCTGAAAATGTATAGGTTTGTTTTAACTTTCATTTAAAAGTCTAAAACCTATAGCAATTAGAACAAATTAATGTGGTGTGCTTTCTCCCAATTAGGTAAACCGATACAGAATTTCCCGTGTCTTGGTCTTTCTCAAATTTAAATGTCATCCTTTATTTTGGAAGGTGAGAGGGATGAGATTACACCACACCATGATACTATGATTATTCTGAGTTGAATGTATCCAAGAATCAACAGATGCAGAAAGCAAGCCTTCCCAGAGCATCTTTTCATCTGATTAAAATCAGAAGCTTTGAGAAATGGGGAGTGCCTTAAAACCTCTCTCCTGGGGAATTTTTTTTTTTTAAATAATACAATAGCTTCTTTTTACATCATTTTGTGCCTTTTTCCATCTCAGTTGTAATCCCCGTGGGCTTCCCATCACCAGATCACCCGTGTGCCACCAACATGGCCAGTGCCCCGCCCCCCTTTTGACCCCATTTCCCCACTCCATCCTCCTGAGGAATTTTTATGGGCATGAAAAATCACAGAGAAAGTTGGCAGTAAGATGGACCGGCACAATAAGCCTTGCTAAGATAGCCCTTAAATTCCACTAGCCCTCCACCCCCCATTTATTTATTGACCTCCCTACCTTTAGCAGCCCCTAAAAGCCTAAAACCCCTTCTCTATCTGGTCACATCTCTGCTATCTATGGATCTTTGTTTAAAACGGATGAGGAAAAAGACAACACTTGCAAGCTGAACATAGATCTGAGAGAGCCAGTAGGGGAGAAGGAGGGCAGGAAAGGGGTCCGAACAGGAGAGGGAAGAGTACAAGGGACTATGGTGACGGCTCACGGGGGCTATGATGGTGACGGCTCATGGGGCTGTGGTGGTGGGAGAGCTGTGGCGATTACACCTGAGGGGAGAAATCAACTGTAAGGTCCGCAGATAGGAGGATAGAGCGAAGCGAGGAGACAGGAATAAAAGTGAGAGGAAGGCTTAGGCGCTCTGAAGGAGCTTCGCAGGCCCTCAGCGGGGGGTCCGGGAAGCCCCGCCCAGTGTACAGGCTAGGGGCCCTTTAGAGGTGTCTTTAGGGAGTGAAAAATGTCAGGCAGAAGCGCTGTGCCATAGGGGGTTTTCTGTCAGGGAGTTAGGTTGTAAAAGACCATGCACTGGGCAAGGAGGTCCCTCTTTGTTTTTTCCTAGTGATGCATGTCCTTCCTCACAAACAACCTCAGGGTTGTTTCTCCTTTTTTGCCCAGATCACCCGGGCATGATCTTACATCCAATACTATCCAAAAATGAACAATGATATAAGAAAATAAGTAATAAATAAATACATTTCAAACAAAAACAAGAAATAAATAAAAGGGTGTGTAATCTTACTCAGGCCTGTCTTCTCTTTTGAGAGTCTTCACATCTTTTCGAGGAAGGCCCCGTGTCTGGTCATATTAGCACAAACTAAAACGTGTATGTTTTTTCCTTGTTAACTTGTCTCTCGTTAGTCTAATTTGCAGGGCTCCAGTCACTGAAGCAAAGCAACAGAGCGGGATGGACAGCGAGGAGGAATGGAGGTATATTCTTTGATGTATTTGGTACCAATTGGTTTGCCCAGGCTAAGGGGACTACTTCAGTAGTCCCTTGGGATTGTCTCTTGGGATTGTGGCTACCAGTTATCATGGTCTGCTTGATGCGCTCCATTCTCTCAAGGGTCTTCGTCAGCCACGCAGCAGACGGCTCTTGGAGTGAGGAACACATCTGGCAATGAGATGAACTGCAAAAGCTCCGCTTCCAGGAACCTGACACTGTGCCCTTCTTGTCTCACAACTGAACTCTGGTGGTGACCGAGACCAGCATTGATACCAATGTGGGGACATGATCAAAAGGAGGGAATTGTAGAATTAATTAAAAGGAGGCCATTAGACCAGAGTATCTCTATGGCTGTGGTGGCTTTTAGAAGCAGACTGAAACCTAGGCGTGTAAAAGGCCTCAAGGTTAAGAAATTAAAATACTAAGGGAAACTAATCAGTAATCGCCAAGGATGTTTTCCTCTACAGCCAATCAGTTATTTCCTTGTGTTGCTTCTGCTTTTTCTCTATGAAAATGTCTCCCCCAGCTCCTGCTGAAATAGGCCTTCACTGCTTCCCATGTGCACTGACCTCAAATTGATTTTTTTCCTCAAATAAACTCATGAAAGCTGTTCATATGCCTCTATTTAAAAATAAAATAGACAAATCCCTCTCTCCAGGTTGAAGTGACCTGCAGTCACACCTCCTCACCTGCATCCCCCTGGGCTTCCCCCGGGGTTGGTCCCAGCAGCCACACCTACAATGCAAATTCCTCCTATTCTTGAGTGTCAACCACTTTACCTAAGGGCTCTTACTCCTCAAAACAACTCAAAGACTTCAGTATCGTTTCACTTCCCAGGTGGGGAAAGGAAATCATAACTCATCCAAGCTGCTGAAAGGAGAGCCAGGAGAGGAAGGGCTGGGTCAGGCGCACTATCTCGGGAGCCTCACTGGGCATGGTCTGTACCACTCATTTGGCGGTTAATTATGTGTTGCCTTGGGTGGCACCAGAATTGCACTCTAGTTCAAAGTCTCAGATTTTGCACATGCTTCTCCTTTCTCCAGCTCAGCTGTGAATGACTCAAGGGCTGTTACAGGTCTTCCACTTTTCTTGTCTGCCTTAAGCGCCACCCAGAACATGAAGGTGCCTTGCTGAGTGGGCACTCAAAGCTTTTTGGTTTTCTTTTCTTTTTTACATCATGCTTCCTTTTTGTACAATGCATCCTTTCTCCTCTTAGCCTAGTCCCCATAAAATACCTGTGCACCATCACCATAGTCCCTCTGTATTCTTCCCTCCTGTTTTGATCTCAACCCCTCCCCCTTCCCACACTCAAGGTATTTTTGCTGAAAAAACAATCAAGTGCTGAATTAGTGACTATTGTTAACACCTTTAAGGCTCTCACTGGCCTCTCAAACTTCCCTGATCTCTCCAAAGGGGCTGAAAAAATGCTTTCCAAGGAATCAGTGTCCAGTTGTCCACCCAGGTTGCATCTGAAATAAAGCTTGGCGAAATTTGCAAACACCAGAGGACATGAGCAGATGTGTTCTTGTCTGGTGTGACTCCATCAGAAAAAACTGAGCTCCGCCATGGGCACCACAGCACCCCACCCACCCACAGCACCCCACCCACCGAGAGGCATAGCTCTCCTGTCCCCTGGGCAAATGCATTTTAACACTTGGAGGCTGCTGTTTACACTCTTCTCAGATACTGCTCATGTGCCCCCTGGGCATCTGTCTGAAGTGCAAGAAAAGTTGGATGAGAAACACTCCCCAAATTTTGGTTTTAAAAAGAAGGGGGGATAGGGACCCTCCCTAGTGGCCCAACAGGTTAAAGCACAGCACTATGAAGCTATCCCGCAGCTACAGCAAGCATGAGTTGATCCATGGCCAGGGAACTGACCACATGGCACAGCAGACCTCTCCTGCTCGCCCACGGCTCCCCTCAGCAGTGTATTTCAGTAGTTCTTGCCTGTTCTGCTCCCCACTCTGTCTCTGGCAAATCCTCTCACACACCCCCACACATACCTCTGGCCTGTACCCGAGTTCTTGTGTGCATAAATAAATAAATCTTAAAAAAAAAAAAAAAAAAAGGCCAGAAAGAAAGAAGGGGCTAGCAGCAAGGTAAGAGAAAGGAAGCAGCCCCTGCAGCCCCGCAGGCTCCGCACCTTTATGTACGTCGAATCCCACTGGAGACACTCCTTGGCAGCCACAAAGGCCTCGTTCCATTTCCCAAGACTGTAAAATGCATTGGATTTGTTGCACAGCAGCACAGCCAAGTCCCTAGGAGGGACCCTGGGAGGAAGAACACACTGGAGGTCATAAAGTTATCTTTTTGCAAATACAGAGAACAATCTTTGAAGGCTACTATTCTGGTGCAGGCTGCTGCCACCATGAAGGGCTTTCGGTAGGTGCCATCTTGAGTATGCTTATCCTATGGGGGCCTCCAGTCCCACAGAAAGCCTGGGGAAGAATAAATCTGCAAAGTATAAATCTGCCCTTCCTCACTCCCAAACCGCTGCTACCGCCTGTTACTGACAAGTGTTCTCAACACCTGGGTTTTATCTCCAACTCTCCATGGATCTTTTTATTTTAGGAAGGGGGATCCTAAAGATGGAAAGGATGAGAATGCTCCCCGAGCCTTGGCACAGGGCAGAGGTGACCACTCCGTGGGCCTTTGTGCTCAGAGGAGGCTGAGCTCATCGTAGGCAGGCCTTTCAGAACATGTGACTGCACCATGCGTGCGACTCACAGTACATGGGACAGGACGAGCACTGGGCTACCTAACAGGCAGCGCCTCCCGGACATCAGGGAACCAGAACCAGAGTGCAGTGGAGGTGCCCAGAGCACGTGGCCAAATTACACAGGCCAATACAGAAGCTGCCAGCAACACGTAGCTTGTTCAATTTAAGTTAATTAAGATGAAATAAAATTTAGAACTCAAATCCCTCGTGGTAATACCCAAGTTTCAAGTGCCCAAGTGCCACATTCGATATTATAGAGCATTTTTATTATCACAAATAAGTCTTATTACACCATGCTAGTCCGAGTACTTGAAGGCCATAAATCAAGTTGCTCGATAAAATACGTCTTAACCTCCTATTCTATAACTGGAAGGTAAGACTCGAATTCAGAATGGCAGGAATGGCGTCAAGGAAGGGTGAGACATGTCTGGGCTCCTGTCCACTCCCTCTTCTCCTTCCACTTCATCCTTCATCCCGCATTGCAGGAAGCCCAATTCCAAGTTCCGTCCACACCCCTGAACTTGGCCAACTCTTAGAGGAATCAACCCCAGGTGAGACATCCCCCCCTACCTGGGAGCCTTCCACTGTCCCCTCCTACTTCCTATTGAGAGAACTTACTCAGTAAACTACATGCACCTAAAACCCTACACCAGCTGGGAGCAACAGGAAGACAAGCAGTAAGTGACCAGCGAGGGGAACAGTGTCAAGAAGGTCCCATGAGAAATGATAATTGGCAGGTTCGGGGGAAGTCCCAGTGTGGCAGCAGCTAGAAAGTGGGGGGCTGAGATCTGAGCACTCCCTGTGTGTTAGCCTATGGCCATACACTATACAATTCTATGTCTTTAGGAAAGCTCAATGTTTTTCCCTGAATGAGAAGTTCTAGGTCCAGCTCTGACACAGTTCGGGTCTGAACTAGGAGGGAGCAGAATGGCTGAACTGCAGATCCATGCCAGTTTGTACTCAATCAAGTCCAGCTAGAGTGTAGACACGAAGGTGACAGAAGTAGGGTGTGGGGAACCATGTTTCAATCATTTAACTCAGGGCCATTTCTCAGTACAAAAGTAAGCTGTATGCCCCTCACAAATGTTGACCTCTGTTTCCTCTAATACTGCCGGTACCTCTGGGGGAGGGAGGCCCAAAAACAGTTCAAGTGGTCCATAAAGTCAAAATAGTTTCACAACTGTAATAGGTTGAAAACATTCCCAAACGATGTTACCTTTTAAGTTAAAAGGTGATTAATTTATGGATCTTGAGAAGAGGAGATTATCCTGGGTTATGGTACAATCACAAAGGTCCTTAGGAGAGGGAGACAGAGGGAGACATGGCTACAGCAGAGGAGAAGACGGTGTGATGACAGAAGCAGACTGGAATGATGATGCTTTGAAGATGGAGGAAGGGGTCACAAGCCAAGGAATAGAGGCAGTCACTCAAAGCTGAAATAGGCAAGGAAATGGACTCTCCTCCACAAGGAACCAGCTGATTGTCAGCCTTGTAAGACTCATTTCGGCCTTCTGACCTCCAGAACTGTAAGATAATAAATTGTCTTAAGTCACTTAAGTTTATGGGTAACTTAAAACTGTGGCACTAGGACACAAATACAATAGTAGTCCTAAAACAGCATGCACCTTTTCATGATCATTCTCTTATAGGTGTACAGGGAATTTTCCAGTGGTTACATGACTCTATCATGAGATATCATAACAGAGGGATTGCAGAAGCAGATATGAGATGTTTTCTATTGATCCAGATGTTACAAAGATTTGCAAAAATATGAAATGGAACACTTGTCACTCACTTTTTAGCTTTGGAAAATGTTTATTTTTCATTATGTTTCATTAACACATAAATGATATATAGGTAAATGGATAAATCAATGCATATTTCATTTTTTCCTGAGTTCTAAGATCAAAATAGTTTCACAACTATAATAGCCTGAAAACATTCCCAAACAAGGTTACCTTTTATGGCTACCACCTCCCTAAACAAAAGTACTTTGGGGTTCTCCATCATGTGGAAGTTTATCATGATGCTAAAATGTTTGGGGGGGGTGTCTCCAGAAGCCCAAGGGGCAGGAAAAGAGAAGGTGAGACTAAGTTCCTGAGTGGGTGGCAGGGTAAGTGACATGACACTCAAGTGGAATGAGGCTTGGGGACTACGGTCCCTCCAGCAACTCTGATCCTTCCCGTCACCAGAGAGAAGAGGAAGTTTTACAGTGTTTATCAACAGTCCTTGAGTTTCACTTTCAATTTCCCAGCATTACTCTAGTTGTCTCTGTTCTCTTTCAGAGCTGACAGCTCAGGGGAGATAAAGAGGATGAGGGAAGAAAGGGAAACAGAAACACAGTGGCATGAGAAGTTAACAGGAGCAACAACAGAGTAAGTTACCATTTACTTTAAAAGGAAAAGAAAAAAAGAAGGTGGAGAGAGACAATTCAAACACTCACCCCCAATGGTATAACTGCAGGAGAATCTGGATGGCTTCATCGTACTTTCTGATGGCCAAAAAGAAGTTCCCATTCCGAAAAACCTGGTTGCCAGCTTCTTTCAACAGCTCGGCATAAGCCCTCGGGTCCATCCTGTGAGAGAGGGAGGGAGGCTCACAGTCAGGAAGGACTTCTGCTTCGCCCAGCGTCCCTGAGGCTGAGTCTTCGCGCTGGCCCCGCCCCCCTGCAGAGGACACACCCCAGAGGGCGCGCCTCACCTCAGCACAGGATGTCTGCCAGGGTCCACTTCTTCCTCAGTTATTTTCTGATCTCAGGGGCCATGGCCAGAATAACTCCATTTTCGGTATTAGTGACTGTATGGGCACTGTCAACGTGAGAAGGCCGCTTCCTGCCCGACAACATACACCTGGCAGGCAGGGCGCACTATCCCACAGCTGGCACGGCCATTACTCTCATTCACCCATCCCCACAGCCTGTAAGAGGCTTTGTCCCCATTGTTCAGCTCAGGAAAACTGAGGCTCAGCCAGGCTTAAGACTCTTGTAGATGACATTCCCTGGTTTTCAGCCCAGTTCTGGTAACTGCTCTGGACCTCTGTGCGCATCACCCACAGGTGCAAGCAAAACTCAGTGGCCAGTCCTTGCCCTCAGCAAGTGTTGGCTGAACAAAGGCAGCAGAAAGGACAGCCTGAAGGGGCACTTAGAATTTTTCACCCTGTCAGGATGGTAGTGGGAAAGGCCCAGTGGTTGGGAGGGTCTAAATAGGAGGCCAAGCCAGATAAGTCCTATGCCTGTGCCTGCAGGGTCACATTATCCACTGGGGCCTTGCTGACCCATACAATTCTTGGACAGATAATCATTTTCACTATTCTTATCATTTCAAGTCGTGGTGAAGGGTTTGGGGGTAAGAGAAGCATACTGAAGCAAGTCTATGAGATGAAATGCTTTATTTTTTTAATATTAATTTATTTATGTATACAAGAACTGGGGTACAGGTCAGAGGTGGGGGGGGGAGGGTGTGAGAGGATTCACCAGAGACAGAGTGGGGAGCAGAACAGGCAGACTGACGAAGTACACTCCTGGGGGGAGCAGCGGGTGAGACAGGAGAGGTCTGCCACGCCAGGTGGGTCATCTCCCTGGTTAGGGATCAAACTCATGGTGTGGTGGCTGCAGTTAACTCCAAAGTGCTGTGCTTTAACCCACTGCACCACCACAGAGGGCCCGAAATGCTTTAAATCTATATGAGCTTATAGGGAATTGGGTTTTTGAACTGTGCTGTCTTTCTTGGGCAGAGCTATGTCAGACTGAAGCACATAATTCTTCCAAAGAAGTCAGAGGGTGAAATTCCACCTGATAGTTTTCACTGAATCTTCTCTCATTCTATGGTTCACATGACTGAGGAGAACATGCAAGTATTTAAAGAACAGACTGACTATGAAATAATCTCTTTCAAATGCCGTTAGTCATGTACCTGTTAAGTATTTCTAGTTACCATGACCAGATAGCTAGAAAAAGGGAAATCAGGGGTCTTCGCTGGTGGCACAGCCGGTTAAAGCACAGCACTATGAAGCTCTCCACAGCCACTGTAGCACAAGTTTGATCCTTGGCCAGGGAGGTGACCCACATGGCACAGCAGACTTCTCCTGACCCACCCACCAATCTACCTGTTCTGCTCCCCACTCTGTCTCTGGTGAATACTCTCACCCCCCCCCACCTCTGGCCTGTGCTTTAGTTCTTATATGCATAAATAAATAAATCTTTAAAAAAAATAAATAAAGGGGGTTAATACCCCTCTTTGATAAATAACTTTCCACTGCAAAGAAACATAAACCTGTTCCCTGGCCCAAATGGGTCAGTGTCCTCAACAAACAAGTCACAAAGAAATACAAATGATTGTTGGCTGTAAGGGGAGTGGGTGAACAGGCTCACCCATGCTAAGTGAGCAGAGAAAGGAAAAATGAAAGCAACAGGTTATCAGTGGGAAATACCTCAAAAAAAGACCCCAAGTGTTGGGGGTGGTCATATACTGTTTTAACAAAACAAATACACTACAATGTGCATAGACTTGGACTCATGGCTGTTCACCAAAGTGAAAAACTGGAAATAACCCAGAATGTTCCTTTATGTGTAATGGATTGAATCAGTTATAGACTATCCATATGGTGGAACACCACACAGTTATTTTAAAACTCATGTTGTAAAAGAATGGTTAATGACAGGCTAAGTAAGTAAATGAAAAAACACAGGCTGCATAAAAAGGCATATAATCCCAAATTAAATTTTAAACACATATGATAGCCTGAAAGGACGCCAAGATTTAACAGCTGTACTGCTGGGATTGGGCAGAGTTTTGCTTTGCCTTCTTGTGCTTTTCTAAGATTCCAGTTGCTCGATGATACACTGCCTTAGTAATCAGACCATAAATATCACCAAAGGCAGACTGCTCTGGGCTTATTGGGGAATTCACCACAGTATTTACAAACTGTGGTATTTACAAACAAATAACAACTATTCACATCCAAATGTTGCATGGTTGTTTATTTTTTGCCTTTTGTTTTTTTTTCATATTCCTCTAGACACTCAGAGTGAGCTTTTAATGTTATGTGGGCAAACCTCACACGTATCCATCTGCTTCTGTGGCTGCTCTTTCCTGGTACAATCATGTCACGGGGGAAGGGCTGTCAGCCACATGGAGGGTGTTTGCTTTTTAATAGAACTTATTTACTGACAGTTAGACCCTCACTACAAGGAAAGATGCCTTCTACCTCTACTTTACAACAAAGAGCGCTCAGCTCCTGAGTTTTTTGTCTATACAACGGGACATTGTAAAATGAAATTGTTAAAGAGAAACAGCAATAGTTTACCATAATGACAATACACTACATCGCTAGTATAAAGTGAGCACCTACTATGTGTTTTAGCCACTGCGTCATTCCAATCTTACAACAAACTCCGTGAAACAGGTACTGTGTCCCCAATGACGTTCAGGGAAACTGAGGCAAGGTGAGGATATGACACTTGCCATAGTCACAGGGGGAGTGGTGGCCCTGGAAGTCTGACCTCAGTGACCTGATGTGACCAAACCTCAGTGAACCCACTACCCTCTGCAGGGCCAGGGGGAGGCTGAGAGTTCAGCACCAGACCAATCACAGCAGTGGCTTACACTTGTGCTGCCTCCAGCTCTCCCACCCTGGCACTTTTAGTTTTACTAATGATGCAACATTAAAAACCATTTCACGGCCCTCCCTGGTGGCACAGCGGGTTAAAGCACTGCACTGAAAAGCTAAAGCCACTTCTGCATGAGTTCGATTCCCGCCTGCCCCGGAGGAGACCACATGGTGTGGCGGACCTCTCCTGACCCGCCAGCTGCTCCCCTCAGCAGTGTACTTCGTCGATCTGCCTGTTCTGCTCCCCACTCTGTCTCTGGTGAATCCTCTCACCCTCCGCATCTCTGGCCTGTACCCCAGTTCTATATGAATAAATAAATAAATCTTTAAAAAAAAAAAAAAACCATTTCACAGCTGCTGTGTCAGCTTTCAGCCCATTTCACTAAGTCCTGATGAAACGTCAAGATGCAGCTTGTTAGGTGGAGTCAGGCTGCTTGCAGGAAGCAAAAGCAGAAACACTCAAATGCACTGAGTTTTTGAAACAAGCAAGCTTGAAGCAAAGCAGACCCAGCTGTCGTTTTTATTACTGGGCTATAGATACACACATGAAATTGTCTAACTGGCCCAAAAGATTGAGCAAGAATTACAAACAGGGCTGGGCTTGGCGCAACTGGACTGGGCAGAAGGAGGCTTTACTTTCATTTGTTATCTGGGTAGTACTTGAAATCTTGGTAGCAAATCTGTTTAATTTTGTCGGGTTTTTTTTATGATTAAATCCTTTCGAAAGATACCCCAAAGCAGTCAGGATCATAATCAACTCTGGAATGCTGGGGACGGAGCCAGAGTAAGGCCAAAGAAAGACTCCCTTGTTGGGCCCACCCTGGTGGCACAACTGGTTAAAGTGCAGCACTATGAATCTGGCTACCGCAGAGTTCGATCCTCAGCCAGGGAGGTGACCCTCGTGGGGCAGCGAGGCAGACCTCTCCTGACCCGCCCGCTGCTCCCCTCGGCAGTGTACATCATTTGTCTGCCTCTTCTGCTCCCCACTCTGTTGCTGGTGAATCCTCCCACCACCCCCTGCACCTCTGGCCTGTACCCTAGTTCTCTATGCATAAATACATAAATCTTAGGGGGAAAAAAACCCCAAAAAACTCCCTCCTTCCTATCCCCACAGGAAGACAGGCTAGACAAGGATAAGACTCCAAAGCAGAACTCATTCTGGGAATTCCAATTTGTCTTCTTTTGCTTCTCTTTATTTTTTTTTTCCCTTGGAGAAAGAGTGTACAAATGTAGGAGGAGAACACAGTTTTGGTTATTTTTTTTTCTTTAAGAAGCTCATTAGACTCTTAAAAAGCCTCTGGGAAAGAAAGTGCATTTTTCTCTAATCTCTATCAACAGAACAGCCACTGACCTTGCAAAACAAGTATAAAAAAATTTTTGCTCATAATTTCATGAAACTACTTGGTTTTTTTTTTTTGAGAGGAGGGATAGGATAGTTTTTATTTAAGTTTGATGCCAACTGACTAACTAGCTATTCAAAATTTTCAATACTGCCACCTTTAAAGTTCTAAGTTGCCCCTGATATTCATATTAAGATTTGTGTCACCTCAGACTGACTCACTCTCATCCACCAATAGTATATCAATACACATTTTCCACTAAACTCTAGCTTTCAAAAAGTTCCTATGTGGACAAAAGCAGAAAGAGAACTCCTGGGAAGATTAATTATATTCACATTGCTTTACAATTTGATGTTTACAGGCTTAAATTAACACAGGACTAAAATAACTTGTATCTGTCCAAGTTGAAAGAAAGTCACAGGTTTTCAAGGAAAAATCAGGTTATAAGAAAAATTATAATTATATTATCATAATTGCATTGTATAAAAATACTAGGCATGCACACATATTTCTCATAGGAGCTTTTTAAAAAACTCCTAGGGCCTCCCTTGTGGCACAAGGGATTAAAGCACTATGAAGCTATCAGCAACCATTTTAGCATAAGTTCAATCCCCGGTCAGGGAGCTGA